TGATGTGTCTATCGGAAGAGATGACGGTGATATTCCTTCCATGTGCTCATCAAGTTCTGTGCTCAAAGTGCAACCAGCTTCATGAGAAACAAGGCATGGAGGAATGCCCTTCTTGTAGGGCCACTATTCAGAGGAGGATTCAGGCTCGTTTCTCCCTTGGGTAAGCTTTTTCTTTTTGCTGCAGTGGATGATGCCGTGAAAAAACCTTGAAGCACACACCCTTGTCTTGAGTGTTTGTTGGCCTTTTGCTCTTCTATCCCCTCGCTTAAGGTTTTGCTTCACATAAATGGTTGAGAGGTGAAAAGACATTCTATATCCAATACTCAGTCATTAATACATCTGTAAAGAGTAGCTTCATGCTCCTAAGAATAAAGGGAATGCCTTTCCTCCCCCATGCTTTGTTTCCCCGTCGCCTGTGGTAAATCCATTAAACATATGTTAGTTTTCTCTATAAGAGGTAAAAAGGCAATGCCCCCTACTCCTCCTGTCTTCTTCTTATTTACATGATATGAATGAATAGATAGACACGTAGTAAACGTATGCATGTATGTATGTATATATGTATTTGTACATATTGTAGATGGAAGTAGTTTTGGTAAAATATATGGCATATGGGGGTTGGGGTTTTCTATGTTTTTTTTTTAAAATCCTATGTAGCGATCCCTTATCATTTCTTTTTGGTACGTACAAAGGAGAGAACTGACTTTTTGTTAATTTGAATTTGCCAGAATCTCATTTGGAAAATCACTCTGACGGTATTATTTATATAAGTATATTTTCGATATTTCCATCTATAATTGATGTATTGGGAGGGGAATGATTGTGAAATAGCAATGGTTATATGGATATGACAATTGATGGGCATGTCTTTGTAGGTGTCCTATTGAATTCAGTGCACCGAACCGAACTTAGGACTAAGGGCTTCATCAAATGCGTGAATGAATGAGTGGAAATGTGAAGCCACGTGTTTGTGATATAATTTTGGACACTTTGACATTTAACAGAAGGAAGAAAGCAGATGAAAAGCGGGGAGAGAGAGAGAGAGAGAGAGAGAGAGTAGGTGAAGTGAAAGAGACTCCACAAGCAGGGGACATAAATGAGAGAAGAGATGAAGGAGTGTAGTGTTTGGGGGCAATTATATGCTTCTTCTTCTACCCTTTATATAAATACATTTTCTCATTTACTATCATAATTCGAGTTTCTTCAAATGTCATATATTATATGATTTCTATCCAACCGATGTCCTAACCAAACCATACAACTTTTTGTTCATTGACTTTCTTGATCACATATTACAATACCCAAGTTTACAAATTTATTATTAATTAGTATTTTGTTAGTCCAATCCAAAAAAAGGGCTTTTTTTTTTATTCTTCACCACCAAGGCATTCTTTGTGTGTAATGAAAAAGGTACATCTCTCACATATCTACTATGTCTCGATGTCCACTATTCCTAAGACTATATATATATATATATATATATATATATATTGAGCAAAACGAGTCGTGAGGGTATATATGATCATTGAGGGACCAAAACACACATTTCAAAGAGTGGAGAGGAGGGTGGGGGGACCAAATTAAAGATCGGATGATATGCTTTTTGGCATTTTCTTACTTGGAAGGTAACTTAGATTCTGCAATACAAATCGGGTTTGGTGGATCGTATGCTTACACCGAAATACCATTATATATATATATATATATAAGTTTATTGGGTTTTATTTTTAGTCTGTCGAATTGTCGTATGAGTTAGAAATTGAAACAAACAAACAAAAAATTGCACGTTATCTACTCCATTCCATAAAAATACGGATTACATGTTCTTTTCTTATGCACATATACATCTACTTTTTTTTTTTTATATTTTCACCGTCTTGGTTACGGTCATCCAAAAACTCTTTGGATTTTATCCCATGCATTTCTCGTTATACCATTCTTTCTCTCTCTCTCTATTTAGTTTGAGGAATCCAAATGTCAAATCAAACGGAAGGATATATTGCCACGTGTTTGTATAAGTTTTTGGGTCACCACGTGGCTCTTGCATTTATGATTTTGAATTTTGATACTACAAAATCTAACCCAATTAATCCAAAGAAGGTTATAGTTAAATGCGTGGGTATATCTTATTATATAAACCGAAATTAGAAAGGAAATGAATCGCATTATATAAATATAAAACCATTTTGAGGTTTTACTTAATGAGATTTTTGTGAAATTAAGTGGATGGTGTTAGAGCTGAAAAACAAAACACACTTTTATTTATTTAAATAAATCAACTCTGGTGGTCAACAAAGATTTGTTGTAAAGTGACTACAGAACCGTCATCATCTGTTACGTTGACCATTGAACCCAAATAACACATCTAATTACTGTATTTGCCATGGTTGATAGTGAAATTTGAGGCACTCGAGGTTATTATGTGTTTATATTAAATGCCTTTTTTATATTCATTTCTAACGAATCCATTGAATTAAAATCATACTCTAATTATGTTATTAATCATAATATAAGCTAGGTCTTAATTACCCAAACCTAGAAGCTGACGTGGCGGACCTTCCACGTCAGTGACACGGACATCTCGCTCGTCCGAGCTGTCACTCAAGAACCACATGACACACATGTCACGTGATCCTGGACCCCACCACCACCTCTCCTCTCGCTCCGAGCCTGCTGATCTGTAAGGCTCGGACAACCGTTTCCCCCCGCACAAGTTCCCGATGAAAAATAAAATACAAACAGTAGTTATTACACCCAAATGTGAGACCTTTCCTTTTTTACTCCAGAAGCCAACACAGAAGACGAAGACGAGGAGGAAGAGGAAGAAGAAGAAGAAAGAAGAAGGAAGAATATTCATTCAGCTCTTGCTTTGCTTCCTGCTCAAGCCATTTTGATCACTTTTGTCCTTCCCTCTTTTCTGACAATCTTTTATTTTTAATTTCTCCTTTTTTTTTCTAATCGTTTTCTGCTGGTATTAAGGTCCGCCATTAAAGCTCTCACGGAAGCTCCCACGAGAAACCTCCATCTCTGCACCTCTTTCTGACTTTCTCTCACGAGAAAGCTTAGACTCGCTCGTTTTCTCCACCCACCCATTTTCCCAACTTTACAGCTTTCTCTGTTTTGTCTTTGATCCCCCCCCCCCTTCTCTGTGTGTGTATATATATAGTCTCTTGTTTATACACCTGAAGCTGTAATGGCGGAGTTAAAGAACAGGAAGATGAAGTTTACGGGTATTTGGCTGTTGCCGATTCTGATCCGAGTCGGGTGTTTGGTGGAAGCGATTCTCGACCCAGTTGATTTCTTGGCTCTGCAAGCGATTCGCAAGTCGCTTGTTGATTTGCCGGGATCCAATTTCTTCCAGTCGTGGGATTTCACGTCCGACCCTTGCACTTTCGCCGGAGTTTACTGCGACGGTGACAAGGTGGTGGCTCTCAACCTCGGAGATCCCAGAGCCGGCTCACCCGGTTTGTCGGGTCGAATCGATCCGGCGATCGGAAAACTCTCCGCCCTGGCCGAACTCTCCATTGTTCCAGGTCGCATCATCGGACCGTTACCGGACACCGTTTCTCAGTCGAAGGACCTCCGATTTCTCGCGATCAGCCGGAATTTCCTCTCCGGCGAGATTCCGGCGAGTCTCGGCGAGCTTCGCGGCCTCAGAACTCTCGACCTGAGCTACAACCAGCTAACGGGGACGATCCCTCCGTCAATCGGATCCTTGTCGGAGCTCTCAAACCTGATCCTCTGCCACAATCACTTGTCCGGATCAATTCCTCCATTCATTTCCCAAACCCTAACCCGTGTCGACCTCAAACGCAACAACCTCACCGGCACTCTTTTACCGGCGACTCTCCCGCCATCGTTACAGTACCTCTCCCTCGCCTGGAACCAGATCACCGGACCCGTCGACCGGGTCTTGCTCAATCTTGACCAGCTCAACTACCTCGATCTCAGCCTGAATCGCTTCACCGGCACAATTCCAGGTCGGATCTTCACCTTCCCGATGACGAACCTCCAATTACAGCGCAATTACTTCTACGGCGTGGTTCAACCGGCGAACCAGGTGACGATCGCGACCGTCGATCTCAGCTACAACAGGTTCTCCGGAGAAATCTCGCCGCTTCTGTCGACCGTACAGAATCTCTACCTGAACAACAACCGGTTCTCCGGCGAGGTCCCGGCGAGCTTCGTAGAGCGGTTACTAGCAGCGAGTATACAGACACTGTATCTGCAGCACAATTACTTGACCGGCATCGAGATAAGCCCGGCGGCGGAGATCCCGGTGAGCAGCTCGCTGTGTCTGCAATACAACTGCATGGTGCCGCCATTGCAGACGCCGTGTCCGTTGAAAGCCGGGCCGCAGAAGACGAGGCCCACCACTCAGTGCAACGAGTGGCGAGGGTAGTTCTGGAATTTTGCCAAATTATATTTTACATATTTAAATATATTCCCTTGTTAATTTTTTTTTGTCATGGTTTTTTATGGGAAAAAAAAATATGATTCGTTTATTCGTTGGGTTGTAGCGTCTTCGGACAGATTCTGAATTAATAAAACAAATCATTGTGAAATTACTTATATGTTACACTTTACCAATTCATGTGTTGAGGTACAAAAAATGACAAAAGGCATATTCATACAGGAAAGAAAGGAACTATACCACTAAGGTTATTTTTGTAATTATGTATTTGGCATTGTAGTAGGGGTGGACACGGGTCGGATACCCGAAAAAATAGAGAGATTTGGATTTGGATTCGGGAGGCTTAGTTATTTAACTATAAGATTTGTATTCGGGATTTAGTATTTACGAGTATCCGGGGTACGGATATCCGGAATTATGGTCGGATATTCGCGCGTATCCGGATCCGAATTTATTTAAGAAAAACAACAATATTCATATATAAAATTTTAAAAAAATAAAGAAATATTTATAAAAATTGATGAATTATGATAAAATATATGAGACAAAAGAGATAATAAGAGAGAAATAATAATAAATTTAATTTTTTGAATTAATATTAAAAATAGTAGGATACCCGTGGGTACTCAGTTTTAAAAATTCTATTATCCGGATTTGGATTCGAATTCGGATTCACAGGTATTGAAATATCAGGATTTGGATTCGGATTTGAAAATTACGAGTACCCTAAAATCGAGTATCCGTGAGACGAGTATCCGACGGATACCCGATTTTCGGTTATTTGTGCCCTGCCCTACATTGTACGGTGTACACCATCCCTTCACTTGTCACATTCCTTGTTGTTAAGACCACAACTCATTACATGTAGAGAGTCGGTCCACATAGCAACATCTAACACAATCCATTGGCAACCTTAAAAGCCTTATTTGATTCTCCCAAACCTCACATGTTCAAAATAAATATACACATTCATGCCCTTTACATTGTACTCTATATTATATGGTGGTATATTAGCTATAACACAGGTGATGATGATGCAAAGAGAGCATATGTATCCATTTGCAAACCTCCTCTCTAGTAGTAGAAATGTCTCCTCCGGACCCTCTTCTTGCTAATGATGGGCGGCTCACCGCTGCCGGGAAACTCCCATTTCACGACGTCCCCATCCCACGAGGAGCTAACGAGCATCGGGTAACGAGGGTGCCAGCTGCAGTCTCTCACCGGTGAGCTATGGTGCTTTAGAACTCCCACTTGGGCTCCACTTATCTATACGACCAGACAAGACACAAGGCAAGTTAATCTACCATTGCCATTCCAGAAGAAGAAAATGTAAGCAGAGGAGATATGTGATTGTGTCTTGGGAATGTTTCTTTGGGAGTGATTTGAGAATTGGAGCATACGTGGCTCTTACCACGTCATATATATACACAAAACTGTCGTTAGATCCAGTGTAGATGTACTTCTGACCAGTGCTGTCAATGAATAAAGGAAGAATTCACAAGAAGCAGAAGAAGTGAGAATAAAAAAGGACCTGTAATTGAGGATAAAGACCTAAAAGGAAAAGCATAGCAACTCACCTATATGCAGGAGAGAAGTAGCATCGGATAAGTGTGCGCAAGACTGAGTGTCCTTTATAAGTAGCCACCGACTGATCGTAAGGGTGTCTCAAATCCCTAGCCTCAGATGGGTAATCCATCCATCTGTAGTCCCACTCATAGTTCCTGTGAACCGCATGGCTGCAAAAAGAGAACAACACAATCAGTTTAGTCGACGAAAAGTTGTTCCCAGAAACTAACTGTAGAAACTATAGCATACAAAACGGGATGATAGGCAGTATATGATATTGCAAGGAAGCAGGATTTAGTTACTAGAAAGAAAGCAGATTAGGTAATATCAAGAGACGGGCAACGTGAAAAAAGTAGATATACTTTGTGGGAGGATTTGAAGACATTTTTCTAATATCCCACAACTTGATCGTTTGATCTTTGCCATTTGATATCAAATAGCGACCATCCCCTCGGCTGTCTATAAATGTAATTCCTTCCAGGTGTCCCACCAGAACACCTGCTGGCTTGTCCCTCGCAATAAAGCAACGCCTGTCCCATACCTATCCATGGAACGAATTGAAGAAACAATCGTAAAAAGCAAGCATAAAGGCAATAAATTTATGGTGTTTTGCATAAACTTACCTTACAGAGATTATCATCACTTCCCGAGAAAATCAGATGTCCACTTTCATCGGCAAAGCATACAGTATTTACATCAGACTGCAGGAAAGAGAAAAGGCTTTCAAAACCTTGAAGGGTTAAGACAAGTAATTAAAAAAAAACTTGCATCTGAAAGGGGGCAGAAAATAGGTGCACATGAATTTCGTTATTGTAATAACATATTTTGAATAACAAACACAAAATCTAAAAGCATTTATCAGCAAAGGAAGCAGTTTCCTGATTAGGTAGTTAATGGTTGCATACCTAATATTGAGAAGATTAACAACGCTATAACTCACTGAGATACATCAAGCTTAATGATCAGAACCATACAGCTATGAACATCTAATAAGGGGGTAAAAGATGTATTTCTTTGTACACTTAGGAATACAATCGTATATGATGTATACGCATAAAGAATTGTTCTTTAAGAAATCAAACAGTCAAGAATAAGAGCATGAAATAATCAGATACACCTAACAAGCAATTTTTACCATGTGAGCAACAGTCCGGAGAGAAACCCTATTTGCTTCGAGATCATAAACATAAATGGAGTCGTCACTGCTTCCAGCAACAAGTTCTCTACCATCAGTAGAAAACTTCACAGAAAATATTCCAAAAGAGTACCCTCCATCTTCATCAGAAGAAAAGTCTAATCCATCATGGATCTCCTGCAAAAGACAAGGACCTCAAATTAGCTAATCTTAACCTGCAAAAGACCGAAATCCTAGTGAAAACAAAATATATCACGCAGAGACTATGTTCCGTTTTAATGATTTGTTGAGCCAATAATTACTGTTGTTCCATACCGTGACATTTGCAAGAGACTCGGTTGTCCCAGACCCAACATCAACAATGTGGACAATAGGCGACATGCTTGCGTAAACCTGCAATGTTGAAAAGATAGATAATTCTCACACCCGGCAGTTCCAATATAACCAGGAAACCATATAGAAAAGAGGAAACTACATTACAAGCATCTCTTTAAAATCATATGAAGAGAGCGAAATTTTTCATTTGACATCAAATGTTAACATGTAATCGAAGATACAAAAACTCACAAGATTGCGCTGATCTGGGGACAGAGAAGTATCAGTAACTGTCCAACGCAAACTCTTTGTTAGAATGTCCTTTTGAACTTTCCAGCCATTCTCTACGTTGTAAACTCGGATGTGGCTTCCCTGTAAAAAGAATTTGATCAAATCGATAGTATGCATGATAATTAATCCAGCAAACATATATCTACAACGCGAAACTTAGATGGAGTATCGTCCTCCAACTAAAATTGCCCCTTTTGTGGGTGCAGGGCAAGATCCCAAGCTTTCAGGTCAACATAGTTCAACTTCAAGTTGCAGAAGATTTATATTATCATATACTTTACAAAACCTTGATAGACCATCAAACGTCAATAACGTGAATTGCCAATGAGAAGTTTTTGGAGCAAGGGACTAATTTTCCTCTATGACAGCCTGAAATATATAGAAAACACAAGAGTAGAGATGTATTCCACCCCTCCTAACCCGACCATCTTATCTCAAATCACAGAATCACATACCCAACACCCATATATGTATGTTTTGATTTAGGATTCCAAACAAGATGAAGAAAATACCTGGAAACCAGCAACAAAGAGGGAACCATCAGTTGAGAATTGAGAAACATATGCTCGGCTGGTCATCTGGTCTACAAGCCAAGGACCCTTTACAGGCAAATATCTACTTAGCATATGGCAACAATCCGCAGAAGAAAACTTCCCTCTTCTGGAATAGTTGCCTTCTCGACCAGCCAACATTTTGACAGTGGACACCGGTAACTGGTGTTTCCCAGGCACTTGCCGGCTAAACCCTTCATGAGGACTGCATTTCATCTTTGTGATTTGTCGGATTTCATGGTCTACATCTGTCAATGGTTCAGCTGGTCTGTGACTGCTACCAATCCCGTAGAAGTCTTTCCCGGCATCAGAGAGGTCGGATTCCATCTCAAGTCTGCTCATTGCATAACCCATTTCACCAACAGCAAATCCACTTGGCCCCAGAAACATTATAGCTCAAAACCATCACAGGTGATTTGTTGGTTCTACGATTTCATCGATGGTACCCAACCCATACATAATTCGCCTGGATTTTTCGCTCTTTCTTCTCTCGTCAGACCTGCAGATGAACGAAAAATCTTTTGACAAGTCAACCACATAAACTCCAATGTCATCGATTGAATTAAAACCCTGAACTCGAGTTCAGCTGAAAGAACCTCAAGAATCACTAGCAAGCCATTTCTCGATGAGAACTAAACCGCCCATACACTTGCGAAAGAGTACAATTCGACAAGGGGGCCAAGCCCTGAATCGACCGACAAAGAAAAACAAGCCCTAATCCCACAAAATCAGGATCAGGTGAATAGGAGAGCGCAGGGAACATCCCCATACATAACAATTCCCCCCAAAGCACGAGTATCAGAGGACGCATGCGCAAAACTCAGATCATCGAGAAAAGCGAAAGAGCCCAGAAACAACAACGCGGACTCAAATCGAAAAGGGGGGAATCGGAGGTGAAAAGGGGAGTATTGGGTGGGATATGTACCTGTGAGAAGGGGATAATAGCTTAGCAAAAAGCTTTTCTCCCACTTGATGACCCTTTTCTCCGCGACGAACTTCGCTGATTCATCTTTTTTAGCTTTTGGGTTTCGTGTGCTGTTTTTGTCTTTATTTATGGGGGAGAGAGAGACTCAGATCAACGGCTACGATTAAAAGTAAAACCCCACGACAAGATCAGGATCAGGCTATCTCATCTGTGCTTGTGTGTGTGTATAGAAATAAATAAACAAAGTTAATTTATTTTTTATTTAATTATTGGGAAGGAATAAATCACATGGTTTTCGTTACTCGGTAACAGTAAGGTAAAGTATAAAAGAATGTGATTATTCAAACGGAAAACATTGTCCCCTACATGCCATTTTAGTGCAACACATGGTCGAAACGAACTTCCTGCAACGCCGACAACGCCTTTATTTCTCGACAGGAACCCCCCAACCAAACGGATGATGATGATGATGATGATGATGATGATGATGATGATGATGATGATGATGATGATGATGATGATGGGCATACTACCTACTTTGTCAAGACAGAAACAAGAGTAAATATATACATACATATAGATAAACTATATCATACACAAAAGGAATCAATCGATGGGGAAAATGTTCAGAGGACGAAAAAAGAAAAGGGGTACTTACCACACCATTTCTCCTCTCTTGTAAGCTTTTGTTAAAGTTACACACTTGAACCCCATACGAACACTGCATCTCACCAGATATCCATCCCATCCGCGTATACTTCGTTCGAAATTGAAACCGTTGGATCAAATCAAATGTAAGCGAGCGAGCTACGGTCAAAATCAGGCTGGGGCCGGCCTCGGGTCGGGGTAGGAGGCCTCTGAATGTTCAGCTCCTGACCATACAAAACCCGCAAACGAACTCAGTTACATATACCATTTGGTCATTTCCGCAACAAAACAAAAAAAAACAGCTTCTTAGACCTGCATCCATGTATCATCCATGGATCGCTCGGGAGAATTCTCGGGGGATAAAATGGGCGGGGGAAGAGGATGAATCAACTTTGGAACAATCACCAATTCTCTCCCGACCACCAAAATTGCTCCTGCGTTGTTTGCCGTTCCTGCGTCCAAAAAAAAAACATCGAATTCATCTTGTCTAGTCGATGCAAATACCGACAGACAAAAAAAAATCAATGTTTTTTGTTTCACTTACCGCAGTAGTTTGTCGCGGAGAAAAGAGTAATGAGCTGTCCCTGTGCAAACCTTTCGAATCCGTCCATTACACATTCATGCGCCCTAATAATTAGCTGTAGTTTGTTCTTCTTACAGAAATCCGTCACCCTATCAGGCTGCATATATCAAGACTATGATGTCTCAGTGTGATCCTCTAGGAAATGATGTTCATTGCAAAGAAACCTTTAACAGTTAAGGAATAAAATACCGACCCCAAAAGTGACCAGACCGGGTCCTCGAGCATTCGGTCTCAAACCCTCGATGCTGTCATTTTCTGTAGGATCAGACCTGTCCTAGTAGAACCACAGTTATTACAACTTGGGAAAGTGAATAAAAAAACTCGTCAAGATGGCCGTTAAACGCAGAGAAGGAAGTATTTACCATAATAAGTCCATCAGAACTATGGACCCAGCATCCATTGTTATGGGTCTCTCAATCTTTTCGATTTGTTCCACTGAATTTATGGACCTCCCAATGCCGCCGTGCATGCATATAATCTTCTTTTCGATGAGTGCAGCAAGCGGAAGATAATTGAAAAGCTGATTGAATCTCGTCCATGCCCATATCCCATCGTTTTCCCCCTTCGGAAACAAATAATGAATCAGTTTAGTCCAAGAATTGAGACAATGATGAGAAAAGAAAATGTAAATTCTGCAGAGAAACATGTACCATTCTTTCTATGCATTCAAGACGGAAACCAAATAATGCATTGATGTCAGCGGCCTCATGATTTCCACGAATGAGGTGTACATTCTCTGGATATTCAATCTGCAAAAGAACATCCAGAACAATGAAATAAGAAAGAAATAGTCGAATGACATTATTCAAACAGGCATGGACTTGCCTTCAGCGCAAGCAGCAAAGTTATGGTCTCCAGGCTGTGTTGCCCTCGGTCAACATAATCCCCCAAAAATAAGTAGTCGATATACCTGAAGACCAAAAAAAATGATGTATATAGTTCAGTACCAATTCCTAAAGAAAACTCATTTGATTATATGAGTAGCTCTCCTTGAACTTACGTGATATCTCCAGCAGTAGAGGGAAATCCATATTCATCAAATAACCGCATTAAATCACCAAACTGCCCATGGAGATCTCCAAAAACTTTAACAGGAGCTTTGAGCTGAAGAACCGTCTGTTCATGCATGAATATTTGTTCAGCTGCATAACAGAGTTCCCCAACTTCGTAAGAATCCAAGAAAAACTTCCTATTGGCAGGAGGTTTCCAGTTTCGAGGTCTCAACAGTGTAGAGATGACCTGCAAGCAACAGTAGTTATATTAGTTGTCACAAGTTCCAAGAAGACAGGAAGGAATTCCAGAAAGAAACTTACCTTTTTATGCAACCCCTCAGGAGACTTCTGTCTGGTGAATTTCTTGGTGGGCTGAGGCACATCGCTATTATTCATGGGAACCATCCGCCTACTCTCGTTCTCAAACTGATCCAAGCTTCGCATTAAATCACCAAACTGCCCATGGAGATCTCCAAAAACTTTAACAGGAGCTTTGAGCTGAAGAACCGTCTGTTCATGCATGAATATTTGTTCAGCTGCATAACAGAGTTCCCCAACTTCGTAAGAATCCAAGAAAAACTTCCTATTGGCAGGAGGTTTCCAGTTTCGAGGTCTCAACAGTGTAGAGATGACCTGCAAGCAACAGTAGTTATATTAGTTGTCACAAGTTCCAAGAAGACAGGAAGGAATTCCAGAAAGAAACTTACCTTTTTATGCAACCCCTCAGGAGACTTCTGTCTGGTGAATTTCTTGGTGGGCTGAGGCACATCGCTATTATTCATGGGAACCATCCGCCTACTCTCGTTCTCAAACTGATCCAAGCTTAACTGTCTTACCATCCCACCCAGGTTTCCAACTGTCTCCTTAGCAACCACAACCTTGAAAATGTAATGGTAAGGCCACACTTGGGCATTTAGATAGATGCTTAGTAAGATCTATCACTTGTGTAGAGCTTATACCATCCATTGGGTTGGGAAGTCTCTTAGCCTACTTTCCATACCAGGTGGTAAAGGCAAAGATGTATGGAAACATTTAAACACAAGTTAACTTTCTTAATAAACGTTGTTTCAGTTAAGATGAAATTTACGAGCAGGTATTCACCACCAACCAAAACTACCAAAACTTAGCTGCCTCTGGACCTCTCTACCCTTATTCTACATCTATCAAATTGTCAAAAAGCAGCTAAGTATTAAGATGGAAACACAATAAATTAAACTAAAGGAAAAAGAATAGAACAACAAATGAAATATAAGCCATTAACGTACAGCTCTAGGATGAAGCCGGACATCTGCTCCAGTTTCACTACCATCAGAAGCTGTTTCCACAGCCGGCGAGTTGGCATCTGATTCGGAACTTTCTTCAGCAGAAGTAGCTGATGCTGCTTGTGCAGCTCGCCATACAGTGCTGGCTACCTCTGCTTCAGCCGCAGAAGCTTCTGTCAACTTTTCCATGGAGTTGTTGTCCATGCTGATATAGTGCAAAAAGGAAAAGCAACCCAATATGTGAGAACAACTAGACAGAGTTATGTGCACACCAAGAACCACAGCAGGTGTGAGATAGACCTGAATGCCCCAGATGATGGGGTCGCTGGTTCAGAATCAGTAGGGGATCTTGTTGCATAAGTAGTGAAACTGGAACTGTTAAACTTCGGACTAGAAATTTGTTGGGTTCCATCAGATGCTAGTATTGGAGAAGTGATGTCTGACTGGAATGTAGAATTTTCTGCTACTAGAAAATCATCCATCAAAACATCTGCATGGAAAAAACAAATTACTGCAACGGTCACGGCATATAGGTAAAAGATAGACGATTAACAAAAAAGTTTCACTAAACAAATGGAATCGTGCCGCACGAAATCTCCGATTAGATATCACGTTAAAAAATTAGCAAAATAACCTAACATATGCACTTGGATATGCAGTAACCAAAGCACCGACATAAGCCCAAAATACAAGTCACGTGAAAAGCAAAGCTAGCATCTCCTTCAAATCTAGTGCCAGATAATTTACAAGCTTCAGGTTTACCTCCTCTAAGACCACCATGCACATAAATGCGGATTCCAACTGAAGCTGCAGCATGACGGCAGCGTCGCATCACTTCTAAAGATGGATCATGAACTGTTGGTCCCTTACCACCACGAGTAGAAGTTACTAGCCCATTTTTATCCAACCACACTCCAGCAGCAGTATCAAGCACTAGAAAGGGAAAAATAAGATTCAATAACATAATATGATACCCAAAATAGATTAAAAAAGGATTGGAACTCAGTCTTAGTTGTGTTATATACATTCCATAAACAGGTAGTGGACCAAAAAAAGCCACTTAACAAGCTACAAAAGTTTAGCCCCTCTAATACAAGTGACCAATCGTGAGTCGTGACTGACCTCTGATTTGATATGTGACTCAAAACACAGCTAGTAAAAACCAAATAATCACATAGAAGACTGAAAACTTGAATATGAAACAGCTGTTAAATCTCACCTGCAACAGCTGTTTCACTATCTATTAGGCGGCCTCCTTTCAGAACACCCCCTGTGACATGCAATCTTGCACCAACAAAAACCTGATAAAAAAGAGAATTGAATAAGGGAATTCTGTACAAGTGCCCGGATTAGAAGATGACAATATTGTATTCGAACTGACTATCCCATTGGCCATTTGATGTTATACACAACAACAATCAACTCATTTGCCAAGGCTACAATAGGGTATCCCCTGTGATGCTTTTATTTGTGCAAGCTTCAGAAACTTAATTTCTTTGCCATATGTTCTGAATATACGGCACAATCTTGGTTCTTACCGCCGCATGTTGATACCTCGGAGAAGGAGCCACACCTGGAGCGAGATTCCACTCCCACTGACCATTTCTATGCATTAGCAGCCCATAAGCATCTGCGAGTGGCTGCAGAAATAAGGTCACACAATGCTGAATACGCGGAAACACATCATGGGATGGGAGAATCTAAATACAAAATGGTTAGAACTTTTAGGAAAGAAGAGGAACTCCAGGATGTTCATGATTAGAATGTAAATCCTATCTTGGAAGGAAAAACCCAAAGCCTGGAAGCATTTTATGAATTACATCCCATTGTTGAACTTTACGGAAAGGGAAAAATTTACTAATGAGAAAAAAAAAATTATACCACGCCCAAGGCATCTCTTCCACCACAAAGCAAAAACATACCATCTGAGCGTGCACTAGCAGTAGCATACCTGCAGAGGAATATCGAATATGAAAGGTTTACTCAAAGAAACAGATGTTTCACAGCAGAGGTTCAAATCAACTACACTACTAACATTCTAGCACTTGGTCGGTCACCATCCGGATTCAGTTTCTGCCACACATATGGTTTCTGAGCAGTATCCAATGCCCAAGCATCCGAAAGAACTCGTTTCCCTAATTAACAAAAAAAAAAAGAGGCAATCTCTTTTAGTATATTCCCATCTTTTCTGAAATAAATTGAAAATTAATAACTAAAAGCTCCCACACAGAAATGAGCCAGAAGTTTATAAACACCAGATATGAACAATTTTGCAATGCAATACAATTCTGAAGGTTGACGATGAAAAGGATATATGCATCCTCTAAACGAACATAAAGTGCTACACTTTTCTCGATTAAGTTTTGAGTGAGACAATTACATTTTCATACACAACAAATGAATTATCTAATTGCTTCGAAGAGCATTGACAATGTCGGAACTATTCAATGCATAGTATCATGAACAGAAGACTAGGGTTTACTAAAAGAAAGAGAAAGACTCCTACACTTAGCAAAAAAAAGGGGGGGGGGTTCTTACCATCGTTTCCACTCACTGTCACAAGATACCTCTGGGCAACTAAATCCATAACATGGCCATAGCGAGGCCCCGGACCCTGTCCTTGAACCACCACTCTGAAGGCACATCAAATCAATAATTCGTAATGTAGTGAACAAAAAGTGATCCAACTGAAAAATTTGTAAAAGAGCGCACCTGTGCCACTTGAATTTATCATTCGTCAAGTCAAGAACGTATAGATCATCGGTAGAATGGCCGGCAGGACCAATGCCGCCCTGGCAACGAGATGACATACTTACATATCAGATACAGTCACTTACATATTAGATGCAAGTGATCAAAGATTCATTATAAGTCCAAACAAATCCCTCCCAAACTTGTGCTTTCCTGAGAAATGAAAATGACAAACCAGCTACTTATTCGGTCAATCAATTAATAACCTGGAAAACGACCATGGTGCCGACAGCAGCTGCTGCATGAGCAGCCCTCGGGGAAGGAGGCTCGCCAGCCGGTTTAAGCCTGCACCATACGGGAAATCACATGGACAAACACCATCATTACAATCTGAACTCTCAAAACGAAACCAAACCCAAAAATCTGAATCTTCAATCAAACGCGACGCTACTTCACCTTGTCCACTTCCTAGTGAGCACATCGTAAGAATGTACCGAATTGGTAACACCCGCTAACCCTAGAAACCGCACCACAGCCAGACAAGACCGGGATCAGTGAAACTCAGAATAAAGAAAACCAAGACAATCCAAATCAACACAGAAAACCGGAAATCTGAACGAGCTACTTACTGATCCCGGGAGTGGAGGAGTTCCCGCCCTCGATGGCGGTGGCACCGCCGAACAGGATGAGTCGAGGGCCGTGAGTCTTGGTGGCTGCAACCACCGTGAGAGTATGACCACATCTCGGACCAGGCGCGTCGTCTTCGGTGTCCCAGAACGTCTCTAGGGCTCGATACATCGGGGCTGGATGTAGCCAAGGCTTCGAGCCCATGGAGCCACTTCCCGTAAGCAAAAACCAAAACGAAGCAAACAGCGGTCTCGAACTGATCAAAGCGAAAGAGCGAATCGGGGGAGAGGAAACCGGGACGCAAAGGAAGGAACTTGGACGGAGCTGTGGATCGGAGAACCAAAGATTTCGGCGGAAGAAGGCGGTGGGCCCCGGCGGAGGAGCTCTTCTTGTCTCCTGCTGCTTTCTTTTTCCTTTTTGGCTCTAAATGTTTTTACTTTTTCATTTAACAAAAAAATGGAAACAATGTAATAAAAAAAAAATACGGTAATATAAAGTGTAGAGAGAGAGAGAGAGAGAGAGAGAGAGAGTAATGAGCTGTACATCGGTCGCTTCTCTTGTCAACGGTTATATCCGGAGAGTGAAATGACCGAACTGTCCCTGCTCGCTATAGATATATTACTAATTTAATTTAATAAGAAGAAACTTTTTTAGGAACCTCACTTAATCATGGTAATAAAATTACGAGTAATTTCAAAACTGTCGAAAGAACAATGGAATATTCTGTCGTTTTCTTATTGGGCAATTCCTTATATTACAAATGTCATTTTCCTTCTATGGTGAAAGAAGACATGTGATGATTCTTTCCTAAAAGGCCTCATTTGTTACAAAAACATGGAGGAAGAGAAGATGCAAATACAACAGCAATCATATCATAATCATAATATTGATATAAAACCCAACAATTCGATTCAATTTTTATTATTACTAAAAAATATTTACATGTACCCATATTACCTTGGATTTGATTTTTAGTTATTAAAAGATATAATCCTTACATTTTTTATACTGAATTTGATTTTGGTTATATTATGTTATATTCACTTAGATTTCGGGTTTTATTAATAAAAATACTCATTTTTCGTCAAAAATATCAAATGTTTGGGTTATTTTTGTTGTCTCTGATTAAGATGTTCAAGTTTTTTAGTTTTAAAAAATTTATTATCATTCAGTTTTAATGTCAAATTAGATTTGATTACAATTATATTTTATTCGATTTGGATCGGTTTAACCAGATAAGATAATCAAATGGTCAAAATTAATTTTACGGACCATCAAAGTTTGCACAGATTGTCATAATCGTTGGACACAACTACATTTTATTGGAAAACGGAGTGGCACAATCGTGGATTTGTCCAAAGCTAGGGACAAAACAGTAAATGGAGAAAAGCGACCGTGAGATAAAGCAAAGCCCTGGGGAACCAGAATTTGAAATGAGTGGCCGTTTGAAATCCAAAAAGACAAAAAAAGATTTCAAAACTAAAAACCAAAGAAACCTTTTTTTTGATAACTTCAAAATCACCCATCCCTTCTCCTTCTTCACTTCCAAACCAAAACTCTCTCCACGAGATCTTAAGCTTCTGTCTTTTGGTGGGTCGTTGGAGCAATGACGGGTCTAGTGATGGTGACCAAAGGCGGAGGCTGCGGCGGCGGAGGGAAGGGTGGTAGAGGAGGAAAAGGGAGCTCGGAGGAGGAGCAGAACCAGCAACTCTCTGTGGTTGAGTTTCTGTTATCTGCTCTGCGGAAATCGATGGTGTCGTGTCGGGTGGACAACCGGCAGGACGACGGCGGAGGGATCTCCTCCGCCACCGTGCATCATATGGAAATCGGATGGCCGACGAACGTCCGACACATCACCCACGTGACATTCGACCGCTTTCATGGGTTTCTCGGTCTCCCACGCGAGTTCCAGATCGAGATCCCATGCCGGGTCCCAAGTGCAAGGTAATACTAATGACAGTACTCGGAGTAGTTATTATCCCCCTACGCTACTAAGGGTCTTCATTTGTAACTCAAGATGCTGCAAAATAAGCTGACAAATTTCGTTTCTGGAGCTGAGTTTTCGAAATCGGATCTGCAATGGTGGATAAGTAACTATTCCATTAGGATAGCTGATAGCTTTTGGAGGTTCCTAGAAGAGGGTAATGGAAGAAGGGCTCGTTTAGATCTTGAGATTTGGTCAAACCCGGAAAAATGTTTCTTTGGAAAACCATAAGTTAATACAGACATTCTGATTATGCAGTGTGAGTGTCTTTGGTGTCTCCGCGGAATCAATGCAATGTTCTTATGATCAGAAAGGGAACAGCGTTCCAACTATTCTGCTGCTAATGCAAGAAAGGCTATATTCCCAAGGAGGCCTCAAGGTATATGAGTTTCTAATTTTGCAATCCCAGTTTAAGTGAATTCTCCCGTAACCGATAGATGGGTTGAGAGGCTCTCACCATTGAGAATTATGGTTGCAGTTTGATTGATAAACCTTCATTTTCTGTGGATAGGCTGAAGGAATTTTCCGGATAAACCCTGAGAACAGCCAAGAAGAACATGTCAGAGACCAACTAAACAGAGGTATCGTTCCTGAAAACATCGATGTACACTGTCTGGCTGGTCTTATAAAAGCCTGGTTTAGAGAGCTACCATCTGGAGTGCTCGATGGACTTTCGCCTGAACAAGTTCTGAACTGCAACACCGAGGAAGAATCAGTTGAACTCATAAAGCAGTTGAAACCAACAGAGTCTGCTTTGCTCAATTGGGCTATTGATCTTATGGCCGATGTTGTTGAGGAAGAAGAGTCAAACAAGATGAATGCGAGGAACATAGCCATGGTTTTTGCACCTAATATGACTCAGGTATCTCAAATATACACAAGTTCTACATTGACTAGTTGTTTTTTTCTGAAATTTGATCCTTACTTTCTTTATTCTCGGATTAGATGACAGATCCATTGACGGCTCTGATGCATGCTGTCCAAGTGATGAACTTGCTCAAGACCCTCATCATGAAAGCACTAGCAGAGCGAGAAGAAGCAGCAACTGCATCGGTAGGATATTCCCCATCCCAAACTGATGATGAGTCAGACAATCCCCAAGACATGGATATCAGCTGTGACTCACAAGGGACGGATTCAGAATATGGAGATGAACAAGAAAATCATAGTCACTCTATTCATGAAGACGAGGATGATATCGAGTCACTGACTGCGATAGAGAAATGCTTCTTGAGGCAGCTCAACGATGGTAGAATTTCGAATGACAGTATCTGCGAAGCCTGGAGCCCAAAAAGCTCATCAGAAACGTTACTAACAGAGAGGAAAAACGATGCCGTGGAGGCAAGCACAGACATATGTGAAGTCTCAAAGAGCTAGCCCACATTTGGTCTCTAATTCGTGTCTGATTTAGCATTTTCATCTTTCCCACGGTGTCTAGACACAACCATATTGTTTGTAGCTCCATTGCCTGCTCCTCCATTTGCTGAAAACCCGGGAAAAAAAAGGAAGAGAAGAAAGGAAAATGGTTCAGACTGTAAATCAATACAGTGATGATAGTTCGGTTTGTAAGAGTCGTAGGGCATAGTCAGTGGTGCATTGGCTTAGGTTCTGAGCCGGAAGAAGGAAGGTTCAGCAAGGGCTGAACCTTTTGTTTGGTGTCCCCCTTGTCATTGTTGTTGTAGTGTTTAGTCTGTTGTCTGTGTGCTGTTTGATCTGTTTGAAGATTTTCTAACCTTCATGGATGATTTGGAATCTGATTTTTAGAGGTTTTTTTCATATCATCAATGAGCATATGATTGACAACTATATGATATGAGAACTTTTAAGAGTTAAATAACAATCTAAAAGTTTGGAAGGAAAAAGGCAGGAGAGAAAAATCAATGAATTTAATGGGAATAATCATAAAATGTCTACAAGGATTTCCAATGATACATAAATTACAGTGTATTGGCACAAAATGAAAAATATTAAGAGAAGAAAAGAAAAGATCCAATCTGCAGCATCAAGTTACAGCTTTCCTGCGAGGAAGGGAGATTTTGGATATGCTTGAATGGGTAGAGAACCGGCAGTGACCAGCTGCAAATTACTTACCCCAGAGATCCACCCATTTAAAAGTTAAAATCCAAATCTTACTTCTGAATCGGGATCGAACCGTTAGCTTGGTTTCCCGTTAACTTCTATGAGGAAGATGGTTCAAGGGTTTAGGGGTTTAACAAGGGATTACTCTGTTTGTTGTTGTTGTTGCTGCTGCTGTCACTGTTGTTGTCTCTCTTAAGCTGAACTTTCAATTTCTTACCACCTAATTGGCGGCCGTTCATCATGTTAATGGCATTCTGAGCGGCTGCTTCTGAATCATAACTTACAAATCCTGTTGCATAGATCAGGTTTTTTCCCGTCAACCTTTGAAGAGCTACAACTATAAACTCTCCGGGAAAACAAGGTGGTGGGGAAGAGGGAGGAGTAGATAGAGCTTACCGAAACATTTGCTTACACCAGTGGCCTTGTCAACGAAAACTTTTGCGCTCAGAACCCTACCAAACGGTTGAAATGCGGTAGCTAGTTCTTGATCTCCATATTCTCGGGGTATATTGTAGATAAATAGATTTGCACCAGCCGGACCTGATTGGTAAAGGCATTTTAACAGAGAACAATACCAGGTTGACGGATATGAACAGAGCAAAGGGGACTTGATAACTGTTATAGAGAAGGGAGAGAAGCAAACAAAAACATAAAAAATGCTGGAGTTAAGTTAGTGACTAACCTTCAGCTTGAACCCCAGAACTTGTACCAGCGCCTGAAGATGTCGAGGAACCACTGTTAGCAACGGCAGGTGATACTGACCCGGGTGAAGGGTTGAGAGCACGAGGACTGATCATACCTCGAGGATATGCAATGGGATACCGAAGACCTGGCACAGCTGGATAACCAGAGCCCATGTAATTTGCAGGAGGCATTGGAAAGTTTTTACGGGCCAAACGGGGTGGGACAGATTCAGACGAGACTCCCCGCAATGCGTTATTACCTTGGTTTGGTGAAATCATATTGTGAAAGGCAGCATGATTCTGCATAGGTGGTAGCATGTACCCATAAGTTCCAGGACCCTGTCACGGAGTAAGATTTATTACCAGGCGGAAGCAGTAGTGTTATGTAACTTGAGTTGAATTTGTAACATGAGGAAAACTAGACTTACATGATATCCATATCCATTGTAAGGGGGAACATAACTCATTGGTAATGCTCCAAACAAAGATGGGTTTTGTGGGTCAGTATTAGCTAGTCTAGTGGCTTGGGATTGAACCTTCTGGAGTCTCCGTGCTTGTCTTTCCTTTTCTGTATCTGCCCATTTGACAACCAAAGGAACATTCGAACCCTAAAAAACAAAACAAATGATGGCAACAGCTGCATCTTATCAGTCCACAAAAGTCTGAATATGTTAAAGAAACTATAGACTAGCAAGCACACACCTCCATTTTATGTTTTCCATTGATGGCTTCCATGGCGGCAACAGCTTGTTCTTTTGTCTCGTACTTCAGAAAAGCACAGCCTATCCAATCAACCACAGTATAAGTCAAACTTGGTGAAACACGCTAAAGGTGTGCACAATCAAATGAAAACCATGGACCACGTTAGCATGAATGTCAGATCAAGAGATGATACCCTTGCTAGTTTGTTGGGAACCTCTTAGAATTTGTAGATCCTTTATGATCCCATATTGGGAGAATATGGATAGAACTTCAGCTTCAGCTACATTCTTTGGAAGCATACCAACAAAAAGCTTGTGCTCTGAATTGGAGGACAACCAAGAACATCCATCAGAACATGGACATAATTGAAAAGGGATAGAAAACAAAAACACCAACCTTTTCCAAAAAATGTCTTTTCCGCAAATCATCACTCAGAAGCATTGAAAACGAGAAAAATAAAGCATATATATTACCTAGCCTTTCTAACTCGCCATCAGCGTACTTTACTTGCAAAGGACTAGATGCCTGACCATACAGGAAAAAAAACAATGGAAACTTTAATTAGAGCTGTCAATAAGAGTGGGAAACTGCATAAATGTCCACAAGCTTTCGGACAAACGCCACAAAAAGATAGAAAAGATGCAAACAAATAAAGCAAATGCATTCATAATAACAATCTAAGTAAAATTAAGGAAAGAAAATAATGATAGATTGCCCTTAAAATTAATTGATGATTCAAAGAAGTACTTCCCATGTCAGCCCCCTCAATGATTTACATAAATCTTAGATACCTAGCTTCAAACCAGCTAGAACTCTCCGCTGCCCCATTGGTACAAAATTTACAATTTACTGCAGGAACTGTTCCCTCTCACAACATCACTTTCCATGTGTTTTTATCTTTTTTAACCACCAAGATATGATACAACAAAAGCATTGCTCTACAAAGCTTCCCCAGATGGGGAAACACAGAATTTACCCGGGCAATTGTACATGACAGCGTTGCCTTTTTTTGGTGCTATCACCAGTATGATAACTTGGGCTTGCCCTATATCAAGATTAATCAGGATCTCACAAAAAAAAGGTTCAAACACATATCTTCTAGTAGTAATGGTGAACAAAGACCAATTTGGTAGACCTACAGAGGATGCATGGGTTCGATGTCGACAAGCAAAAGGGTGAAACAATGTCTTCTCTCATTTAACTGAAGACTTCTTGATTTCATTCCAGACATTTTCCAGCAGATGCATCTATAGCCCATTCTGTGACCCATATACATCATTCATAATGAAACAGAGACTCTGATTCAGAGTGCTACATGATAGCAGTTGCTTGGGATTTAAGAAATCATGAAAAAAAAACATCCCAGAACACTGTCACAGAGTTCCAACAACAGATGCTAAGATTGCCGGATTCCGATCTCATGACGAATGAATTTCATGAATCACCTAAATAGCAAAAAGTTGCTTCTTTAGAAATAATATGCATGAATTCCCAAATTGCCAATTCTGGGATCAACAGGAACTGAAGACGGTACAATGCAGTTCGAACAAATGGAGAAAAAGAAAAAGCAATATCGAGATCCGAACCAATTTAAAAAATGCACGGCAGAGATTCAATCATTCAAGCTACAGAACATCAGATTCAAGCATCAGGAACTTCCAGAAAATGAAACATAACAACTTCAAGAAGAAAAGAAAAAAAGCAAGAAATCGAACAAACCCCGGGCAATGTCTTTTTGTTATGGCAAGCATTGACCGCCTTGTCCGCCTCCTCCCTCGACGGACAGATGAGAAAACAGCAACCTGGGGTTACAGACAGGAGATTGCAGAAATTAGGGTTCCCGAATTTATGAAATAAACTCGAGAATCAACCCCGCATTCTCGAGCAGAACCGGAGGAAACTTCGAATCAAACGTTGAAAACGCGGAAACGGAGGAAACAAAAGACGATTCCGCGAGGATGAGACAAGGAGACACGAAGAACAACCTCGGGAGGCACGAGTTGTCTTGTCCTTAATGATGTTGACCTCGTCGACGATGGCGAACTCCTGGAACAATGCCAGGAGCTGAGCCTCCGTCATGTGCTTCGGAACTTGTCCAACGAACAGCTTCACGCTCTCCTCGCTCTTCCTGTTCTCCATCATCTCCTCCGCCATTGTCGTCGTCTTTCCCCTCTCTCTCTCTCTCCTGACGAAATGGTTGCCACCCTCTCTCTCCTGTCTTCGTCGTCTTCTTCTCGTCCCTTCTCTCTCTAGGATTGTCTCTCTCTACAGTTTTTTTTTCCAAATATTTAAAATCAAAACAAAAAATAATTATGAAGGAGGGGAAGAAAATTGGGGAATTTCTGGATGGCGAGGTTGGATTAAATTAAATGCTTACAAAACCGGGCTCGCTGTTGCCAATATTAACGTGATTGCCATTACAGCTGTACAACCTGTAGGATGCGAGGAAACACTTGGGCTTCTTTTGTCTCATTAAAGGATTGTCGTCCTGAATGACGAAATTGCCCTTCCTCTTTACCCGCGTCTTATTGCAATTTATTTTTAAAATGGGTCGTGGCAATAAGCTGTCAATTGTTTTTTCTTTGCATGGAAATGTGATTTTTAAATTAATTTTAGGCCGAGACTGGCCAGAATCGCATCTTTTAATTTAAGAAAAAAACAATATAAACTATTTCGGAAATTTTGTTTGTATTATTATTATTATTGAATGAAATTAAGGAGTACAGATAATTTGAAAATAGGAATATAGACCACAAACTAAATTATAAATATTATTTAAGCCAATGTCAATAGGAAAATGATTAACATTTCATTTCATTTGACACATTTGACCGTTATTTCCCTTTTTATGTTAATTGCATTCTAAAATTCCAATATATTAACCAAATATATTAATTATTATATGGTGAAATATTTTATATATATATATATACACACACACTTATATACATATTATCCCTTTAGTAGACGTTATGATTGTCCATAGTGAATGTTTTGTATTCCGTAACTATAATTTTTTATGGCGTTGTTAGCATATGTATGATGCCAAGTAATAACTCGTTCTCAGAGTAAATTGTCTAGCTCTTTGATTTTAATCTATTTATAAATAAACATATATTTTATTTTTACCCTTTTATAATATTTTATTTTTTGTATGATATTAAACAACATAGTTTTTAACGACGTCTTTATCAAACTCGACAATTTATTTTTTAGATGCTTTTTGGTTTTTTAGGTAACCGTTTCTTTTTTGTTTGTAGTTACAAATATCTCAGGACGATTAGTGTTTTCTATTCAGTAAATATTACTATTTTTCTATTTTAAAACATTTTATTTTTGTTTTTCCTTTTGCTCCCAACGATTTCTTCTAAGGCGATTCTATTTTTGAATTATTTTATTGATTTTTCTTTCTATCACATCGAAACGTATATTACCCTTTTTTTCTAATAAATACTTTAAAATAACATTATATTTTAATTTTTTTTTTAATTATTTGTTGGCTAGATCAGCAAATATTTCTAATTGCCCATGTGATGTCACACAAGTATATTATTTATTGGTTAAACATTTCCAAATTATTATTATTATTATTTTTTTAACATTTCCAAATTAGTTAACACAAATATCAATAAAAAAATATATCGAAGAACCCATTGAACTTTCTCCGCTGAAATCAAAATACAACCAAAGTTGAGTGGAATATTGATGATCGCGAGCGGGGAGACCATTTGATTAGAGAGCCAAATTTTCATGTACCAAACAAGAAAAAGGAAAAGAAAAAATATATATAACAAGCAAAAGTCTTCTATATTAGGCTAGTTGACAATATCAAAGTCTTGGTGGATATCATTTTTACGCAAATTAAATTTATATAAGAGTGTTAGCGTAATATTTTTTATTTTTTAAATTAATATACAAAATATTATATTTACCGGTCAATAATCGAAGTTAGATTATTTGATAAATGGATAAATACGAGTTGACCATGTAATTCGATTACGCAGTGTCGTGAACGGTCGCTGTCTGGACACCGGGAAAGGGGAGAGACATACGCACAAGGGCCATATGGTCAACGAGAAAATATGATGGCAAAACCGTAAATAATTCGGAAAGCGAGGGGCAATGGGTGAGGATGACAGACTGTCCCGCCAAGGCACAAAAAAAAAATAATCAGCAGCTTCAAGGTCCACTGTTGTTCTTTGCAACTTGCCGGGGCTCCTTTCTCCAGGCCACAAAACAATTATTATTATTAATTACTTCACCAAAAAACCCTTTAACTTCCAGACGTTTTATGTTTTGATCTCACATCTTTTAATTCGCGCTGTTTGAATTCTATTTCGAGTTTCTAATATTTCATTTTATTTTTGTCATATCCGTCTCTTTTTTAACGGAATGTGAGAATCATACCGATGTTATAAGCTTATATATATATATATATATATTACTGTAAAACAATTAAAATTATGGATATAAGACTTTGGTATGTAAACAAATAATACATAATATAAATAATATCAAATATTATTCACTTAAATTATGTATAAATACATGTTTTGGATTGTAGATTATCTGTCCAAACTATAAAGAAGACAAGGAGGATGAATATTATTCGAATCGATAGAAAAATGAAATTAGTTACGAGTTTTGTTTATATAGTTTTATAAATATCGAAACAATAAGATCCAAAGTAAAATTATATTATCCAAACATGATAAATCGAATGGTGAAATTAGGATTTAAAGAGCCATTCACCTGGTTCGATTTTGACGTCATTTTTTATTATCAATTACTAACAAAAGTAAAATTATATTTTACGATGGATAAATAATATCTTTAAATCGGAAAAAATATTCCGTTGTATTAATAAGTAGGCAAGATGGAACCATACAGTTGTATCAATTGTATATTTATTGCCAAGGTTCAGTTGATGATTTTAAGAGAATAGGGTCAATTTCAGCAATAAATTGAAGTTTAGGGTAAGAATTACAAACGGCGAGGAAGGTTGTAATTCTAATACAAGTATTTTATTAATATAATAAGGTAATGCATACACACACGACGCATATCCAATCCGAGAAAAGTTAAATTATGGATAATACATGTATTTATTTTATATTGCAAAAAATCTGAACGCAATATCATACTCATACATATTAAATATGTGTATTTAATAAGAAATTATTTTTTAAAAGTATGGTCTAACCAATAGAATTAATTATTTCTCTATTTCAAACATTTGTGTGTCCATTCGACCAACTTATTATATTTTGTAGCTAGAGAGAAAAGATTGATTTAATCTTTTTCATGATAATGTCTACTAATATTATTGAAAACGAATCGAATGATTGACCTCAAAACGACGTCGGTTTTACCACGATGTTATCAACCGTCAGATTTATTAAACAGCACTAACAATGAATCTGGAACGTCCAGTGATTAGACCAGTTTAAAAAAACTCTCGTGTTCGGCGTTTTCTTCTTCTAGCTCTCTCTCTCTCTCTCTGTCACTCTAGGGTTTTTCGAATCTTCCTGCGCGATGCCAAGGTAAGGTTCTCGATCGTCTTCTCGAACTGTGATTTTTCGTTTGATTTGTGTTTAAGATTATTCCCTTGCTTTTTTGCAGATACTACTGTGATTATTGCGACACTTATCTGACCCACGATTCCGTAAGTCCGTATCTCTCTTTGCCTCGATTCCTCTCGATTGGTCACCGAAATCTTTGTCCTCGATGTGTTCCATCTCAATGGTCCAGAAATTGTTTCAGATTCGAACCAGATGTTATGAGCAGTGTGAAATATATACACATATCTGATTGCATAATAGGATTTCTTCTTTCTGGTATCTGTGCATTTGTGTTAGAACTTAGAACTTGGGTTGGTGAAGAACTTAAACTTGTTGTGTTATGGACTACATCACATGGGTTAAGTTATGTTCTTTTTGTTCTTTTTGTTCCTTTATTCTCTCGTCAGCCTTCGGTCAGGAAGCAGCACAATGCTGGTTACAAACACAAGGTACCATTAACGCCTTCTTCTGGGACCTTTTCTTCTTGTGTTTCCCCCCACCTTAATGGATGATGGCTTCAGGCAAATGTGAGAATATACTATCAACAATTCGAGGAACAACAGACACAAAGTTTGATTGACCAAAGGATCAAGGAACATCTCGGCCAAGCAGCAGCATTCCAGCAGGTTGGTGCGGTATACAATCAGCATATGCTCGCCAGACCCATCCTGCCCCGACCCATCCCTCCTCCTGCAAATCTACCGATGGGGATGAGGCCTCCCGTCCTGCCCAGACCCATGCCAGGTCAAGTTCATGCTATTTTCCTCATACTCGACACCCCATTCATTTGATTCAAATGCTTAGCTCTTCCCAATAGATTTGTTGTGTTGGTGAATAATCTCTTAATCTCTCTTGAGCATGGGTTAAACCTTACGATGCTAGTGTGAATAAATCTGTACACTGTTTAGGTTACATGCATGCTCCCGGGGTACTACCGATGATGGCACCACCTGGTGCTCCGCTACCTCCACAGGGCGGGCCTCTGAGACCAATGGGCATGGCTCCAATTCCAGTTCCTGGGAGTGCTGCACCGCCCTCTTTGAACGGAGCCCCTCATCCTTATCAACTTAATCCAGCAGCAGCACCACCAGCTAGTGCTGGCTTCGATGATTTGAATGACAATGCCGAATCTCCAGAGCAGAATCAGTAGTTAGCCGAGTGCCATATTTGTAAACGTCCAGGTTTTCCATAACTTAAATCAGATTTTGTTATCGTTTTCAAACTTTATTAAGAAATATGGAATATGCAATGTGAATGAGATCGGGAACCAGAAGTTATATGTTAGTGGACGAGGTTGGTTGGGAGTTTCACGTTTCTGTGTTTAAGAGTGGATGCCAACATTCTTGGGGTTTGAATCTCTCTCTCAGAGGTTGTTCAACTACAGAACTAGGTGGTGCTGCCTCTTCACCGAATATGTTCTTGTGAATGTTGTGGTTTCCTGTTCTATTAGTAACATGTAAAAAATGGCACTTTCCTAATTCAAATGTCAGCGGGCATTTGGTCTAGTGGTATGATTCTCGCTTAGGGTGCGAGAGGTCCCGAGTTCAATTCTCGGAATGCCCCCTTCTTTTTGCAACTTCATTTTCTATCATTCTCAATTTTTTGGGATTTATTTTATTATGCAAGTTGAGTATGAAGAAGATTATGGTCACGGAAGAAGGCGTGTGTATATGTTTATGGTAAAGAGGGTTTGATTAAAACGGGGTTTCATTTTACCAGTCCTAAGAAAAGTTAAAAGATGGCATATAATCAAAAGACAGAAAGGATAACCAAACCCATTATGGGGATCCTATTCTCTCGATGATCAAATTAACAGCCGCATTTGCAGAGGAGAAAGCTCCATGGAAGCTCTCTTTGTAAGAAATGGAGGTCAAGTCTTGAGCCATCTTCAGCAATATCACCCCTATGTCAGTTTCTCTCTCCATCAGTGACCTGTAGTATGATTCTGCTGCTACTCTACTGATCTCCACATTGGTCGGCTCAGGACAGTACTCATCATCCAACCATTTCTGCAGTTTACCCCTCAGCCATTCTGATTCCTGACAATACAGCAATCTCTAATTACCAAACCTTGAACCCATATCACCGTTCAGAAGAAGCAAATCGAATCCAGATGCTCAAAATGCTTTGCGAGACGGGTTTTTTTTAGAACACGGGATCCTGAAATGTATATATGAACAGTGATCCACTGGGATGAAGAAACCCTAAAAACCGCAATCGACCATGCGTCCTCCAGAAATATCAAAATCATGAACAATTTGCAGCGGACCAAATCGGAAACCAAAAACCTATTGTTTAATTGAATTTGAATCGAATCTCGAAGCAAGCGTCGTACCTCAATGGCTCGGGAAGGAAGTAACCACTCGTCAGGAACCCTGAGGTCTTGAACTGGACTTCCTGGGTCTTCTTCCTGTTCATGGGTCTTCCAATCTGGAGAAGATTGAGACCTTGGAAGCATCAATAATGGAACTTTCGTTCGGAATAGGAGCGGGAATTTGGTGGAGGTCGTCGCTGGGAAACTGTGGACCAGAAATGCGGATAAGAGATGCGAATCGTCGGCACTCGGGACGAATCGAGTCACGGAAGAGCAAACCCACGAACTCATTTCTCGTCTGCAACTTCGCAACAATTTGATTCTCTCGGGCCGACCAGCGGAGAAGAGGACACAACTTTTCGTGGCGGGAAACTAGACGACGGAGATAAGATGACGTCACATATACGACAAGTTGTAAGTGGCTTAAACGATGCCGTTCCGTAAGATAAGGGCATCCACATTTGAACTAATTTTTTTTGGGTAAAGACATTTGAACTAATTTCTAATTGCGCTTTCCACGATTTTAAGAAATAAAGTAAACTACAAACCAATTATAATAAACACTAAAAAAAATAAACTGTATTTTAAATTACCACCTTTTACATAAGCATAAACCATCCCCCAAAATCGACAAAGAAGGAAAAAAAATCTATAAAAATGCTTTCTTTAGCTATAAAACCTTTCCCCCTTCACAACCACTACCCTATAGTATATTATCATCATGTATAAGTCCCAAACTCTCAAAAAATCTCCTCTAGATTTCATTTTCTCGATCGTAATGAACTTTCTAAGTTAGAACCCTAGAAACCCAGTTGCCAATTTCTCCCAAGAAACACTTTCCTTGATCTTCTTGAACTCAAACGGACTCCACAGCTGTTTCTTTGGAGACACTTCCTCCTTTTGCTTTGCTGATGCAGAAACACGTTTCTTGAGCTCCAAGTTTTCTTCTTTCAGCATTTCCACTGCCAAACTCAGTTGCCTTATCGCCTCTCTCTTCTCTTCATCCTTCTGTCTCAGCAATTCACTGGAAACCCTGTTTTCCTCTCTCAGTTTCTCTAACTCTTCCTTCATCTTTGCCATTGCCTCGTCATCATCAATCATGCTCTGGGTATCGCATGCACATTCATCATCATCATCCCCACCACTTTCTTCCTCGCCGTCGTCCACTTCGGACTCTGCATATTCCTCAATCTCAGATTCATAAAAACAACTCTCCTGCTTATGGGTTGAGCTTTTAGGAGTCTCAGGAACATGAATCATCCATGATTCCTCACTTAAGGTGGGTTTTTGAGGAGTGTCAGAAACATGTATCATCCAAGATTCCTCACTGTATGTGGGTTTCTCAAGAGCTTCAGGAACATGTATCAGTTTCTCGGGAGGAGCATGTTTGAACAGAGAAGAGGACCTTGCCAGGTCGTACTTCTCGGCCAGCGAACGGTACATGCGGTAGAGATCTTCCACCATGGCGATGAGCTCTGGTCGTTTCTTGTAATACATCTCTGCTCTTTCCGCAAAGGAATCAGCCTCTTCCTCTATCACCCTCAGCATCCCCTTTGTCTTTGCATCCAGTTCTATATCAAATTTCAATTCAATCACAATGTCAAACTCACTCTGATCTTAGAAGATAACTCAACCATCTTCATCAGAGTAAGAGTCAATTAAAAGGGCATCAATTTCAAGGACGCAGCCCTTGAAATTCTCAGCTTAGAGCTAAAGACAAGATGCCAAAAGGGCATCATAATTATCAGGACCTGGCCAGATTTAAGGGGCATGAACTTGCTATAGATGTTAGTCTTCAAGTTTTACAACATAATTTCTGTCCAAGACACAGACAACCAGATCCAAAGACAACACTTTTACTCAAGACCCATTCTCTTAAAGTGGGTTTCATCCAAAAGAGGGAAGAAACAAAGAAGAGAAGTATCAGTTTGATTTTCAAATTAGAAAAAAAAAAACAAATCTAAGGGAAAG